TGTTATTTTCTCATTTATCAAACTGGCATGTGTAGAGAGAGAGAGTGTGTGTGTGTGTGCAGTTATCTGCCCGTTGCTCTTTACTGAACTCCCTCTGTTCTCCAGGGCACTCAGAGCTTAAATCCACACAACGATTACTGCCAGCACTTTGTGGATACAGGACACAGACCCCAGAACTTCATCAGAGATGTTGGTATGTCATAGTCAGTGACTGTGTGAAGAGAACTCATTTGATAGCACTTCTTTTTCTTCCCTTTTTTAAATTCCTTACAGTTACTGGGAAGTACAGTAATATACATATATTTCATAGTTATGTCTCTCCCTGTGAATACATAACAATATAGACATATCTGTGAATGAGTTTTATTTTTAATCTGTTAGGAGGTGATTATTGCCTAGGCTGCTCTTACCTTTGGTTTTTACTTGAAAGTATTTAACAGGGAGATTTTTTTCAAAACCAAACTCTTTGGATTCCAGGAAGTAGATGAATTTAATGAGCAGATCTTGAACCCTTTGCAAGTTTGAGTAACAGACTTGCTGTATTGCCTCTTAAGAATGTGTACAGTATGTAAAGTGTGGAAGTTTACGTATGTTGAAGTCAGTAAGCAATATGGATAATGTTTAGCAGCTAAATTTTGTAACTGCTGACAGCTCGTTAGAAGGCCTAAGTTTAGAAGATGTTATTTTCTAAGTTTACATGTATCTAGCCATCACTGAATTTGTTACTGAAATGATGCTTTATTAGGCCTTGATTTAATCTTTTTGAAACTAAGGTGCAGTTTGGTCCCATTTCCCAAAGTAGGTGCATAGTAGTTATTTGGATTTTAAAATAAGCAGGACACCTCCCTCTGCAGTTTTATGCAACAGTATTTTACCAAGTTTAAGCTTGTCAGGGCAAGTGGGTTGTGTTTATAGGTGGCAGCCCAAAGAGGTTTCGTTTGCCTGTGGAGGCACTTAGTTCGCTGCTTCTCTGTATTTTGTGAATGCTTTTGTGAAACACATCTGGATGGTTTTTATGAAAAATGGGCTGTTTTGACTCAATTATATCTTTATGTGAAAAGCCCCTGGGCTTCATGGTGAAGTACTTGAGGCAGTTCTGCACTGTTCCTTTGAAATGAGTCCAAAGAAATTGCAGCCAATTTTATTTACCATGACTTGTCTGCTGCCTAAAGAATTGGGAAGGGACAGGACAAAGGGTTATGCAAGTGTTGGTGTGGAAGTGAACATGTCAGCAGCAGTTAATTCAGACCCATTATTGGAGCTGAGGTATGTCAGGGTCAGTATTGGTTAGCACACATTTTCTACTGATGATCAAAACTCTGCTTGGGTGCTATTTCACAATTGGACATGGCCTTAAAAGAAAGCTGTAAAGAAGCAGTGGTTCTGGAACACGTATTTGTTTCTTTTTGATACTGCTGTTGGAAGAGAGGGAGAGACCTGTGGATTTGGGTTTGGTTTGGTTGGTGTTTTGATGGAAAGTTCTTTTCTATTTGTTGCTGAGCTGCTGATAACTGCCTTCTGTTTCTCCTGGGCAGGAGTATTTGACTTGCACTGGCTGGAAGCAGCACAATGAAAATCAGGAGAACATGGTGCTTTTAAGCTACTATGTGTTTAAGAAAAAGAATGAAAGTAGCTTTTGGGTGTTTAATGCACAAGTAGTAAGAGGTAATAAAAGTTAGGTACTAAGAACTTCACTTTTATCAGTGCAGTCCTGGAGCTGGGAGTTCAGAATTTGGAACTAAAATAAAGGAGAGGGATGAAGGGTTGTAGGGTTTGTGGTTTTGGGTGGGTTGTTCCCCCCAATGACTAGTAGCATTTAAAGTTGTACATTTAAATGAACATGAAGCTTTGTAAATAACTCTTACTAAAGTTGAACTGATACTGCCTGGGAGGCAAGAATGGTGCCTTGTTGGTCTGTAAATGCTGAACCTACTGCCAGCAATAACAAAAACATAATCTCTCTACTTTTTTCGAAGGGAGAACTTAATATACTGAAAGGTATTTTTTCATCTTAAAAACATGTGCTGCAAGAGACCTTATTAGGGTTCTCTCTTTTGCAGTCTGTACATAGGAAAGGCTGGAAAATTGACATCATCAAACTAAGAGTAGGAACATGTGTTCAACTGACACCAGAGCACCAAAGCTCAATATAAGGGTTGCCTCAGGGAACCAGCCACACCACAATCTTCAAATATTAAGTGAGAGTATTCTGTAAATTAATGGTAATTAGATCTTAATAGAAACTTACAGATATGGATAGCAAAATAACTTTCTCTCATCATCCTGGGACTTCTAGTGTAAATGAGAGGTTGTTTCCTTCTGGTAACAGGAGCTGTAAGTTCCTGCTCTCTCTAGTGCTCTAGAAAAGATCAGAGCATAGACACTGCATTAGGAACAGCTGTAATTAGCTGGGTGAGGACAGGAGGCTTTTGTCAAGTACTGAACAAAAAACTGCTTTGAAGGGTTTGGTTTATTCTAACAAAAATTAAAATGAGGCTAAGTATTAACTTATGGACCTATTCGGAATACTGGACAATGCTTAATTGATACAGATATACTCTGTTAAGTAGTTGTTAACTTCATGTTTTCTTCTTCTTAGGCTTAGCAGATAGGTTTGAAGAATATCCAAAACTTAGAGAGCTCATCAGATTGAAGGATGAGCTGATATCTAAATCTAACACTCCTCCCATGTAAGTGTTCTTGTGGAAAATGCCTTTCTTCTCCAGACCTGTTTGAAGTTAGCTGTCTGCTTTGCAAATCTCTATCTTCAGCACCTGCTTAGAATTTACATTTTCTTTTTCTGTTTATACAAATTAATCAGTTGAAGCATAGAAGAACAAGATTAGTTTGTTTCTGTTATTTTAATCTAGATGTTTAATAGTATGTAAACTAGTTTTTCTTTCCAGTGCGTGATTGTTTATAGTATCTAAAGCTTTGATTTGACCAAACTGTCAATTGATTGCCCTGCAGGCTTTAATCTGGAATTTTAAAGAATGGGTTGTGATTGTGAATCTCATGTTGTCACGCTGTTTACAATGACAAGAAAAGCTTTACAAAATTGGCCTCTTAAGATAACCTTCGTTGTTCTTGTACCAGCTGGTTTTTGTATAGTTTTCAGCCATTACCTTAGTACCCATTGATTAGATGTTACTGTGCAGCTGAAGACAAAAATGTTTAGGCTGACTGGAAGTCATTTGTCCTGTTGACTTGGAATTACCTCAGAGTTTTTGGTGGATGTCAGACACAGCGTAAGTGTGCAACATGTTACTGCCAGGAATTCAGGCCTGCCTGAATGCCAGCCTAATGCCTGTAATATACAGCAGTCCTAATCTGTACCGAGGAAAAACAGCCTTATGGAGTGACAGTCACACACAGCCTCTTGAAAGAGTTGTCTGAACAACTGAGGTGCCAATGGCAGGACTCAACTTGTTCTTTAGGTTCGGTGTGTTTTTGGCATTCTTTAGCCTTAAAGCACTGAAGGGGGGAAACAGTAATGCAGTGCTGCCTTCTGAAAACACCAAGTACACAGGCAGAATCATAATCTCTTCCAGACACTTTCTGGGAAGGGGGAGGTGGTGATCTGCTGATCAGCTTTCTTAAGGTTAGAGGTTTTTAGGGGAGGGCAGTGTCATTTTTTTGATAGTAAAACAGCAGTGAGTGATGGGCAGGTGTGGAGGAGAGTTGTAAGAGTGTGTTTGTGTATTTAATAAAATCAATGTGTGTTACCTGAAAAGTGTGTCTAGCCTTCAGAACCTTTTGAACATAATATATGAAAAATGGCAGTTCTAAAAAGATGACACTTCCCAAAGTGAAGCAAACCAGAAATCTGTTAGCCAGGCTAACAGTGTTTGCTTCCTAAGTGTTGATGTTTCCTCCTAAATAGTCCACGGGAGTACAGAAACTTCAGTGAATCTGTACCAGATACTGTTATACAGTCTGTGTGGGCATCTGCTTGCTGCTTGCTAAATTAGGATCCTAAAATCTGTTTATTTAAGAGAAAGACTGCTTAAAAAATATAATGCAATAGCATCCAGCCTGGATTTAGGATCCATCCTTGAGGATGTGCTGTGAGTCTCCTCTACATTTAGAGCCTTTGAGCTGTATGAACCACACAGGAGACCCTGCTCTTAACTGGCAACACAGAAGTGCTATGTGGAGTGTAATTTTCAAAGCACTCCTGTACCTTGTCCACCCAGTCTGTCATCTTCTGTTTAAACAGGTATTTACAGGCAGACTTGGAAGCATTTGATATTAGGGAACTGAAGTCCAAATTTGATGTGATTCTCCTGGAACCACCACTGGAAGAATACTACCGGGAGACTGGCATTACTGCCAATGAAAAATGCTGGACCTGGGATGATGTAAGTACTTTTCTTGCTGTGGAAAAGACTTCATACATGCATTTAAGCAAATAGGGAAGTTCACTCCCTCACCGACGTCCTCCTTTCTCCAGGTATTGTCTGGGTAGGAAATTGTAACAGTCAAACCAACTGTAAACTTTAGAAGCCTAACAAAATAGAACTTGTGAACAAAAGCTCAGCTGTGGAAGTTTTTCTCTTGTATTTATATATTCCCTGACTGTTAATCAATTCAGTGGTGTATTGATAGTTCATTCTGTATCGTTCCCTTTTCCATGAGGTCAGCTCTGGAAAAACAGTCAGTCAAACTGAAAGCTCATGAGAACAAAATCAAATTCAAGCTACCTTTAAGGAGTGAGTTTGAAAACCAAGGCATTCATGCCTGTGGTGTGAAGAGAGACCAGGTAACTATGTGAAGGAGTAGGTGTCTGTGTTAGCCAGGCTCTTAACATCAGGCACAAATGGTGCTTGGTGGTGTTGCCCAGGGAAAAAACATTCTACCCTAACAGAAAAACTGGAAGTGTTGGAGTCATAGTTTGGCTTCTGCTGCATTACTTTTGTTCACAGTGGCACTGAATGAAGCTTGATTTGATGTGTTCGCAAGTTATAGATGAATCCTTTCAAGTTGTAATGACTAACAGATGCTTTGCATCTCAAGTTACTTCATCTTGAATGTTACTGATTTGTCAAAGTTGAACCACTGTCCTTGAAAATTCTTGCTGCTTTTTTACCTGAAAGGGAAAATGGAGAGAATGTCTATCCCGTATAGTGATAGGAATTAAACTGGGATTCTTACAAAGTGTCTTCACAACCTTCATAGAAGTAATTCCAGGGATGAAAAGAAACAGGGTACTGTCACTTCTGCATCAAATATTTGTGTCACAGTTTAACCCATGACTACCCCAGCCAAAAGCAGCACAATTGTATACATGTATACATGGGTATTGGCAAGGTAAGTTTTACAAGATACTTTCTGGAAAACAAATTTCAAAGTTTGGCTGTGAGTGTATACAGGCTAACATCTCCAAAACACTGCTTCCTGATGCTCTCTGTGACAATGCTTCAAGACTCAGTATTCTTCCTGATACAATTGGTGATTTGTGTATAAATTAAGAAACACCTTTATTGCTTTTATTATTATTAGATCATGAAGTTGGAAATTGAAGAAATTGCAGCCCCAAGGTCATTTGTGTTTCTGTGGTGCGGTTCAGGCGAGGGTCTGGATCTGGGCCGAGTGGTAAGATGATGATTTAATTCAATTTATGAGGGACAGGCTTAAGAGTTTATTTTTATCGTTGACTTTTTCCTGTATAGAATTCTCAACGGTAACTACTGAGGGATGTTTTGTTACTGTGGTAGAGGATATGTAATTTTAAGTGGCATTAACTGTTTAGGTACTGTTATTTTCCAGATGAGTCATTGACCATGTGAGGAAACAATTCCATAGGGTCTAGAAAGCTGTTCAGCTGTCTTGGTTTTCATAGGAGCAAGTTACCTTTGCCTTTTTCGCAGAATTCTCAATAGTTTTCTGCCAGAAATATTAATTCCAGAAGAAGGGTGCTACTGTGTGTCTTAAATTGAGATAAAATTTCAGGAAAAGCATGAAATAGTAGCAAAGACTTTTGGGTATTTATTTTCCCACTTAGAGAATTTTACATTGATGTGAGAAACTAGCAGAGTTCAGGAATTAGTGGAGACAGGACTAAGGCAGCTGGTCTTTGTGTTGTTCTGACTGATTTTTGATTACATTTAAGTGCCACTACCTAAAATTGAGTGCAGACTTCCATAGGGGATCTGAATATTTTTTTAGATTAAAAAAAAAAAAATTATATGTAGATAAGTCGATGTGCACATAAGCCTCTAATTTTAATTTTTAGGGGCAGCGTGACAAACATGTCATACCAGTAAACACTGTCATTCATCTGAGACAGATTTGCAGATCAGATTTCAGAAAAGTCAAGTACCTATATGAATGTTCCATTTGAGGTATTTAAGTTTTTGGTGTAATGTGAACTACTTTTTTTTTTTTTATGATGTGTTTAGTGTCTACGCAAATGGGGTTACAGAAGATGTGAGGACATCTGCTGGATTAAAACAAATAAGAACAATCCTGGAAAGACCAAGACTCTAGACCCTAAGGCTGTTTTCCAGAGAACCAAGGTAAGGGGTTGGCTCCATTGCTCCTCTGTTCCCATCCTGTCTCTCTGCTGATGAAACAGCTGGTGCCCCACAGTAGTTGGTGACAGGCTTTGGGGACAGCAGGCACGAGGACTTCACAGTTCTGTTTCAAGGAACTAAACTTAGCAATAGAATTTGACTAAATTTAATGTCAAAAGAAGGTTATAAATTAAATCTGTAGGTTATAAATGGATCTAATACTGAAAAATAACTATAGCAGGCTGGCTGTTGGTTGTAAATGCACACGTGCAGGTATGCCCAGAGTTAGCAGCAGAGAGAGGACTGTGAGAGACCAGAGCTCAGCCAGGATCTCCTGACTCCTTAAAGGTGACTGTAAGGGTGAACGTATTGGCTTGGTTTAACAAACCCTTTTTTAGGGATGCATTGTGAAGGAAATGTAGAGAAAAAAAGTGTTCTGATTTAAAAGGCTCAAATGTAAGTTATTCAAAACTTAGAGAAATGTAGATGGGATTAATAAATAATTGGTTTGGGTATATGTGGGTGTAACTGGCAGTTTAACTGCAAAGAGCGTTGGCTGGCAATTTAATAATTACAAGTGTCATTTAACCTCAGGACTCATTCCTCATTCATTAATCATTCCTTAGCATTAAACATCCTCAGCCCTGTCTCAGATTTGCCATTTTTAGGAGTATAAACTTCCCTTTAAGATATCTGGAATCTTTCATTGACTTGCATTTACATTAGTCTGAAGTTTGTTTGAATGTGTTGTATCAGTTATAAATATTTATAAGTATAAATATTGTGTGTTTATTGCATATGGTATTGCAAATCTGTGCAGCTCGCTCATGAGGGAGAGGTTAAAGCTAACACAGGAGGATTTGAGGGGGGAACTTTGTTTAACCAAGAGGAAGAGTTTCTGGTATTGGGGAATTTCTCTGTTTATGGGGCAAGGGTTGGCCTGAGGTCAGTGTGTGTAATAAACACTGGAAATGGAGCGAGTTTGTTCTGACTAAATAAATAGGCTGCTAGGCCAGATGTATTTACCAGTGGTTGCAGCAGCAAATGCTGTTCCATTCTGGTTAGTTGAGGCATCTCTAGATGGGTGCTTTTTGCTGGGCCGCCTGTTAGAGAATCTGAGATATGAGTGAATGACATGTGGTACAGAAGTAAATATTCCAGGTAGTTCTGCTCAGGGCCTGATGGGTAATTTGTTTAACAGTATTCTGCCTTTTTAGTTAAATTTGAGGTCCAGCACCCCTGTTTGCTTGAGTGCAGTTGACCAACTGCATAGATTTGATAGATCAGCTGTTGTGACTTTCATATTCACTTGTCAACTCTGAAAACACTTCCTAAAATCTGGGAATGATTACGTGCTCATCTGCAACTTTTTCTTGAGCCATCTGGCGGCGCTTAGTGAGTCAGTGTGTTTGATCCTGGGGAACATCGCTCATCCAAGCTTGATGTTCTCAGAAACAGAGCTCTGAAATGAGTATGTAGGAGCCTCTTTTCATCCTCTAACAATTGTGGTGATTCCTCATTCATGGACGCCACATACCAGTCACTTAAATTGATCTGCAGTGTTTCAGAGGAAGGAGGCAATGGATGTTACAGCTCAAGAACATTCTTAATGCTGATGAATTGACAGTTTGATGGTGGCTGTATTTTTTACATGCAGTAATATCTTCTAGAAAGGAATCTGAGGGTGACAGCTACTCTTATAAGAGGTACAATATGAAAAAGTACATTATTTGCACTGTCTGTTTTATGACTGAGAGCTTTGAAAACTGTGCTCGGAGGCTGCCACAGCAGTACGTGTGGCATGTGACAGTGCTGTGTGTGTCACAGGAGCACTGCCTCATGGGCATCAAGGGCACCGTGCGCCGCAGCACAGACGGGGACTTCATCCACGCCAACGTTGACATCGACCTCATCATCACTGAGGAGCCTGAAATCGGCAACATAGAAAAACCTGTGGAGATTTTTCACATTATTGAGCATTTCTGCCTTGGGCGACGGCGGCTTCACCTGTTTGGAAGGGACAGTACAATCCGACCAGGTAACTGCTACCTTGGGTTTGATCAAATAATAGTTCCATTTTAATGTGCTTCAGTAACCTCCTTCCATTGTCCCAGGCCACTTGGTGGGTTCTGCCAGGAGCTGAGGCAATACTGGTTAATCCTACTCCATCCTCCTTCTGCCAGGACTCTGTATAAAAATACAAACTGTATTTTTGCATGTAACTGCATCACTTGTCTGTTCTCCCAACACTGGGATGTGGCAAAGTGATTTCTGCTCTAGTTAATGTTCTGCCCCTCGTGGTCAAAAAGCAGAAAGCTTTGCTAGAACTAAAGATCACACACATCTATTTTCTTGGCAAGAACATCTGTCTTGGGGTGAATCCTCAGCATGTGTTGCAGGAGTATCACAGAGAACCCTTCTAAACGACACTACAGTTCAGTTACAATGTTTTATCATCTTTGGGAGCAAGATCATAGAAAAGGCTTTTTGTTTTAGAAATGCTTGTTTTTACTTTCTCAAACAGTAAGACCTTTATGCTTTTGTTCTCCATGTTATCCCTAACTGCAGATAAATGCTGCAGTTACTCAGTTTTCTCCTGGAGTACTGAAAGGTGTAATCTCTGTCTTTTCAGTTTCTGAATATTTCCTTTCCAATAAAATTTTTTCTAGACTCAGTAGTGAAATAATCTCCACACTAACTCTAAAAATTGAAATGTCTTTATCATGTGTAAGACAGAGTAGCAGAATTCCCTGCTTGTAAAATTCATGTCAGCGTCCTAAAGAGGTTTCCAGACCTGTGTCAGAGGTCAGACAGTAGATCTCAAGGAGATATATTGTTGGTGTATGTGAAGATCCATCAGCCACAAAACTAGTTTTTGAAGAAATAGGAATGAGCTTGTTTTAATGTTTGCCTGTCTTGATTAACTTGGTAAAGCTGAAGTGCCCACTGAATGTTTTTGTATAAACAGGCTAATTTAACTCTCTAAGCTCTATTTTCATACCAGGTGGGCTTCAGCAGAGTTGTTATTTTATTGGGTTTTCACAGATGTGCTTCCAGCAGGCTGTGCTCTTGGCTGCACTGTCACAATTGGTTTCTGGAGACAGAGTTACCTAATTTGAGTTTAAATGCCTTTTAAAAAGGGGAGAAGGATGATGTTGTTTTAAAGTAGATGAATTTACTGATCAGGTTTAGTCTGGTACCAGGGGGCTGGATCTGGCTTCCCCAGAGGCGACCTTTTCATTCCATTCAGTATAGGTGACATGTAGGCAAGCGTCTCTCCCTGTCACTTGAGTGTCCCTTGAGTGGAAAAAAGGCCAACAGTGGCCTGGAAGCGTGAAGTTTGTTGCTGCTTTTGTTGACTCTGGTTTTGTTCCCCAGGTTGGCTGACGGTTGGTCCCACCCTCACCAACAGCAACTTCAACGCAGAGACATATTCCTCGTACTTCACGGCTCCCAACTCCCACCTGACGGGCTGCACCGAGGAGATCGAGCGGCTGCGGCCCAAGTCGCCGCCGCCCAAGTCCAAGTCTGACCGTGGCGGGGGTGCTCCCAGGGGAGGAGGCCGAGGAGGGACTGCGGCCGGCAGGGGAGAGAGGGGCAGAGAGAGGAACAGAACGAACTTCCGTGGTGAACGGGGTGGCTTCCGAGGGGGCCGAGGAGGGACCCACCGAGGGGGCTTCCCCACCCGCTGAGGAGGTAACAGCTTCTTACCTCATCCCACGCCTTGTCTCTGAATCTCCTTCTAAAGCCTTTTTTTTTCCTGAAATTAATTCCTCTGGGGACTCCAGCCAGATGACTTGTGAAATTGGTTTTGGTGAGGCTGTTTCAGTCTTCCATGCCCGGGCTGGCATGGCCCCACCTTGCCTGGCAGCACGGAATTCACAGCAGGGAGCACCATCTCTTCACACACCACGGGAAGGAGGGAAGGGAAGGTACTTGCTCTGCTCTTAGGAAAACTGGGGGGGTGGGGGTGGTATGATTTTTTTTTCAGCTGTCATTTTCTCCAAAACAAGGTTTGGGCTTGGACTGACCTGGATTAATATGGTGGAATGGGCATGAAATGCAGTTCTGAATTGCAGACTTACTGTCTTATAGAAGAAAAAAAATGCTGTGTCTATATTGACACCTATTTTAACTCCTCTGAAACCAAGGAGCAAATGGAATAAATAGAATTCTATTTTTTCTTATTTGGTTTTAACTTCCCAAATTATTCCTGGGAATAGGGAACAAGTTAATTTTTAATTTGTGGTGTATGTGCACTCACTTTCCATTAGGGAGAGTGGTAATTCTGTGCAGTCATGTGTTGTGCTTCATGGAAAGCACCAAGCTGTGCACTTATGTGCAGTCCAGAACTTCTGCATAGTCCGGATTGCTCCTGTAGCAGGGATTTTCACCCACTGTGTGTTTGTAACACTTTGTTCTTTGGAAGATAAAAGCCCAGTGTCACTGCAGAGCAATCAGTGACCTCCTTGGAGAGCAGGTTGGAAAGGTGTGTGTGCAGTTCCTGAAGCTTGTCACCTGGGAACAGGGTACGGTAACGGAACCAAGTGCTTGGCTTTGCCTGCGGGAGTTGCACGCGTTTGGAAATATTGGCTGTTGCAGATGAGCTCCAGTGCAGTGTGGACAGACAGCGACTCACTTTGGTATGTGCAGTGTCTGTTTTTAGCAGAACCACAGCTCTGAGCTTCTTGCTCAGTACTTGGCAGGCTGAACAAATTTGGCTGTTGATGTATCAAGGTCGTAGCTGTGGATCTTTGATTTTAAATAGCTGTCCTGTAAAGTAGCAAATTATTAAACATGTTTATCAAAGTTAACGTTGAATTATTTTTCTTCGTATTTTATGGATTTGTTCTCCTTGAGGTTTTGGAATTGCCAAGTGGTTTCCTCTGTGCTGCTGTTGAACAGAACTGTTCTTTTGGTGTAAGGAATATTGGCACAGGTGCTTTTGAGAGGCTGGAAAGTGCTTGGCAGGGGATTGCCATAGTGCTGGTGGAACTTGCTGTTGTTTACCAGTTGGTTCTTCCTGTGTCATTTGCACATCTGGAGAGCACTGGATTTGCAGAGGGGGTGTTTTAAGGGTGGTGCTCATTTGGCCATCAGTGAAGTCAGCCATGGACTACGTGAACAGCATCTGACAGAAGGTAAATGCCACAGTAAGGAAACTTTTGCTTTAGTCATGTTATTCAAAAAGTAAATACTGGAGACAACCTTAGGACCACTGCTTTTGTGTCAGGAACAAACTTGGGTTTTTTTATGAGTAGAAAATGTTAATTTCCTTGTCCCCCTTTTAAGCACAAGCCCATTGCTGATAGTTCAGTGCTGGTTTTAATTGAGTTGAATGGACAGAGGAACTCCACCTTTGTACCCATCCTCCATGAAGAACAGTTACCTGCTCGGCATTATCGGAAGGTGGTGTTCCAGCAGTGACGGACTGATGGCCTGCAAAGGTGAGACAGCAGCACACTCAAAGCTTGGTGCCATGTCCTTGTGGTGGTGGAGATGATACTTAGACACTATTACACACACCCCATTATAGAGGGTAAAAACATCTGGTCATTTCCTTAATCCCTCTGATTTGAACCGTATCTAAAGTGATATCTAGAAATGAAAGGCTTTTAATTGCATTACTGTGTCAGTTAATTTCTCAGTTGTAACACTTACAGGAGGAGGACAAGGCTCAGAATCAGTGAGCTGATGAATATTTCATTTACCCCAAGTAAATGAAGACCTAATTTGAGCATGCTTTCCTTGAAGAGCCTAACAAGTTTCTTCTTTTCCAGTGCTATTAAATGCATAATGCCTTCAGTCTGAGTTGGGATGCCTGTCTAGATCTTGCCATGTCTTTCCATTCTGGAAGAGGCTTAGAGTACTCAGACTATCTTTACACCCTCTATAAATTAAGTGAGGAATTTGACAGTTGCACTGAAAAGATACTCAGGATGTCTCAGCACTTACCTTCAGAGGGAATTCAAGACTCACCTGTAGATCACTGTGTGTAAATCAGCCATCAGCTGGAGGTGGTTGGAATGATGGATGTGCTGTGTAGGTTGGCAGTCAATGCTCTTGGGGGTTTGAGGTCTTCCCCAGCACAAGCTTATTGTGCATGTGTTCATAGGTACTGAATGCTTTGCTCAGGGGACTGGAATTTAGACTGCAAACTAAACAGCAGTTTTGGTCTGATAATGGAAGTTAAGTGGCATTAAGTCATCTAATTAATTTTAGACTACTCAGCTGTTTTTCTGTGCCCTGCCAAGGATTTTAATGTCCAGAATGCACTCTAGAAATAAAGGAAATATGAACATTTCAAATCTATTACATTGAAAACATCTGTGAGTATTGTTTCTTTTTATAAAGATATATTGAGTAACTGAAAGTGATCAAGAACCCACCTGTATATAGCAGAAAAGATGTTTTCTCATTTGAAAATTGGTGGCAGCTTTATTGCTTTAGTAGAAATGCCAATTGTGTAATGGGCTGAAGGTCAACTGAACATGGAGGAGGGCTGCATTAATCCTTCCCATAATAGGGTCATTCCCATGGGCTCAAAATAATGCAATAGGGTAAATTTACAGTAAAACAGGAAGTTATTTTTTGTGTAATTCTTACAGCATACTAATTGTTGGATGCATGGCCATAAAAAACTTGGAGAAATTGGTATATGAAATAACAAACACACACGTGATTGTATTTAATAACTGCTTATTTCTTTACACAAACAGTTGCTGGTGTCATTTTACAAATGGAATGGCAACAAATACTTTTTACAGGGTAATGACTACAGCTAAAAAGTGCTTGTCTTGGCAGCTGAATTCAGGCTGAGGATCCTTTTGTAATACAGCCAATTATTTTAAGAGCTCTCGGTCAATGACAAGTACAAGACTGTACAGATAAGCTGTTGAACCAAAAAGTTACATATTTTGACTGCGTATCTTGGATATTAAGTAATTAATACTAAGTAGCAACACTAACATGTTTAAAAGGCACTTTTTTCTTTACTGAGGCTTAGCTTTACCTTTGAGTCTTTTTTGGCTTTCTTTGAAACACTAATCTTTTTAATAATAGCTTTTCAAGTTTGGAAATGTTCAAACCTCCCCCACAGAGGCATTGGTCCTACAGAGACAGACACACTGATGAAGTATCTGAGGTAAGCAGGTGTTCCAGAGGCTCTGGCTTTCTAAAGTCTACCTTCATTATTGGTATTAGCAGAGGCTTGTTTTTCAAAGCACTGACCACTGAATAAATCAGTCATGTGAGAGGAGATCACTGCAACAGAACTGGTATTAAACAAGAGGCTTTATAGCACCACAAATAACCTTTGGTTAATGTGTCAACTGCCTCACAGTTGACCTGCCACTGAAATTTTGAGGAGCAGATTTTTCTGAGTTGTATTGGGAATATTCCAGTTAACAAATGTACTAAATACAACCCAACCTGTGCAATTTTAAAAAGCTAACTGCTGCCCCTAAGAGGAGAGAATAGTAGTGTGGCATTATCTGCCAAACATGGCAAAAGGATTGTTGGATTACTGTTTTTCTGTGGTCCCCATTGTTGTTGCACTTACTCAAGTCCAGTTACAAAACTGAGGCATTTCTGTGTCCTGGATAACCCCGGCTGTAGAAGGGTCCCTAGAGCTCTCTGTTTCTGTAGAAAGTAACACTTGTCCCTTCCAGGAAAAAAAGGATTCACATTCCAGGAAGGACTCTGAAATCCTTCAAACTGAACTATGTGTTTACTGCCAATCTGATTCAACTGTACATCCTCACTTAGTATTTTTTCCTCTTCTGTATAGATTTTCTCTGCCAGCTCTTGTACAACTTGTGTCTAGCAAAAGGAATAATTAAGAATTTTCTAAATTGTGTTTTAAGAAACGCGTACCATATATGCTCTTAAGCACTGACAGTCTGAAATTTGGCAATGGATGTAGAGAAAGAGTCAGGACTCCCAGAAGATTTATACCTGAGTGCAGAACCTCCTATTCTACAGCTTAATAAGTAAGCAAAGGACTCGGGGACAGGTGGAGCCAAATAAAACTGTCCAAAGAGAGCACAGCAGAGGGTCAGCAAAGCACAGCAGAAGGCCTGGGCCTGCTGGAGCTGTGGGCCAGCCTTCAGGCACCAGGGACTGTCCGTCCCTCCTGCAAAGGGAAAAAGGAACTGAGAAATGTTAAGTGTTGCCTTAACTGAGCAGCTGACTGATCTCCTTGTGAATGCAGACGAGGAAATCCACATAAGAAGCTCCTCCATAAATACTCTTGTCTTCTACTAGGAACTGTCGGAAAAGCATCTCTGGCTGTTCCCGTTGCTTCACTATAATCAGCTGAAAAGAGAGGGAGATGTTAGAATACAGTCATACTAGATGGCAGTAGTTTTTCTGTGTCTATTAGTGGAGGCTCTTGAGGTAGGAAAAACCCTCCAAACAAATAAACCTTCACATTTTAGTAGCTGTATTTATGAACATAGGAGAAATTAATGTGAATTAAGCATTGCAGAATAAAATAGTTACCTTTTAGACTTGACTACCTTTGAGTCAGTTTTGATTAGGAATTAAGCACGCTTGAGATGCCTGTGCCTACAAATCATGCTGGAACTCATCAATGTGCAGGAAAACTTCTGATATGTAAAAAACCTTTTATAGCTACTGGTAAGGTTTGACAAAACCTTCAGTATTCTTCTGAACAGGTATGAGGCAGAAACAAGTTACCTTCATAGTGTGGGGCTTTTGGCTCTGGATTTGCTCCAGGATATGCTTCAGTTTCTTAGAGATTGGATTGTCCAGGTCAGGCAGGGATGTCTGTCAGAAGGGAAGCATGGCAGGTGGTTATTTTCCAGTCCCATCTCTTGCCAGTTCACACAGACAGGACTAGCTGCTGATAGTTACGGTGTAAGGAGCTGTGGATTTCATTGTAAAGTGGAAAATGCCATTCCCTTCACAGAAATGTCCCATCTTGAGGACTCACCTGCTGAAGTTATTTTTCATAGTAAAACAGTCACTGTATGAAAACTCATTGGGCA